GTGTGAAAATAGAGGTTTTTAATTAAATATTATTTAGTTTTTAAAATAATTTTATTTAAAAATAATTTTAAATTGGGTATTATAGAATGTTGTGTAATTTTTTTTATATTGCATATATAAGGCCGGATGGCCGAGCGGTTAAGGTGGCGGCCTACCGCTCTGGGGGATCCGGGATCGCATCCGGAAGAATCGTAAAAACCCCATGAATTTCGCGGGAGATGATCCGATCGGATATGTTGGGCCCCGTTCCTCACCTTCCGGCTGCCCCATTGTCGACCTTGCCGAACCCATAATGGGCTTGCTAAAAGAGGCCCTCTTAGTGACCACAGGGCGGCTAAAAGCTTCATTTTGTGTGTAGATGACAATAGTCACTATCCACATAACATACAGTCCACCCCCCATAACACTGCTGATTATTCCGTTTTATATGAATTCCATGTTCTACGAGTCACTTAGATTTTACAAATACGTGAGCCGTTCACAGCCCGGCACATGTATTTGTAAAATCTGACTCGTACAACATGGAATTCATATAAAATGGAATAATCAGCAGTGTTATAGGAGGGTCGACTGTATATAACTACATTCCACGGTACGTTAGTTTACAGTCTTCACAACGTAAAAGATTTTTTCCAAATAAAATATCAAACTAAAAGGTTTCTAAACTTTCTTTTTACCTGCCTACACACAATTATAAATTAATGTGAGGTTCCAAAAACGGGTTGAAATTAGAACATGGAAAATTTTGGAAAAGGGGAAAGGTTAATTATAAAAGGAAACATCGCGTGAGGATCGTAAAAAAATTCTAAGACGTCATAGACTAGACAACAATAAGGTAAAATATGAGCGCAAGTTCAAAGTTCCATCGACACTTTCCGTCCAGAGTTAACGGATGGTATCGGGTAGATCTTTCTCGTGGTCCAAACAGGTCTTGTCTTTCACATAGGGACAGACGTGGAACAAATCAGGATAAACAAAAGGGGGAGAATGGAGATTGATATAATCCCGGTCTTCAAGGACCGAAAAAGTTACCCACACGCGAACATCCCTAGATCATCCTGACGCGGGATTAACGACTATCACCAAAAGTCAGTTAACTTACATTAATCTAAAAACGATAAATATCGAATCTTTAAACAGTTAGCCCAATATGAAATTTAATATGTTTTATTAAATGTAAAAATTTATGTACACTCGCGTACAATTTTAATTGTCGAAGTAATTATAATTCTACTTTGGACATATATCGACTGTACTGTATGTGTGTTTTTGGTTAAAGTTCAACGTTTAGTTCATTCTAGTGAGCAAAATCACTACAAAATAATTTTTTTACTAGTAGAACATCGGTTGAAATACAGTCTGTATGGGCCTATTATAAGTTGCCTCCACCAGTTACAGTAGTTTAAACACAGTCTTTAATTAAACACGAGAATACCGCTTAATGTTTCGTTGTCACTTTGGCCACTGTCGTTGTTCTATGCACTTTAACCGAAGTGGAAGAACATATCTCGAATGGTGTCGAAGTATCCGTCCGTAAATTAGGATGGAAAGTCAAGTCCAGTTAAGTCGTAGCCGGGTGAAAGGTCACTTCCAGTGGCTGTATCACATTCGGTGGAAAGTCGAAATCTGCGTAAGGCCTCGTCAGAAAAAGGGTTTACGTTTTCCAGCAGCAAAACAACCTTTTCCACCAAGGCCTTTTACGCTCTAAGGATTCTTCCACGGATGATTTGGACTCTTCTGTCCAATCCGGCCTCACCTGACCGTGTCTCCACCGTCCATTTCGCAACTTTCGGGTATCGCCGCTTTAGATATTGGACGAGAGACGAGGCGCTGTCGTCCGGAGTTACGACCACCATCCGTTTGATTTCTCCTCCGCATCTTTCGGAAGTACCCGTATCACACCGGGCCAAGACCAGGCGTCATCCCGGGACTCGGCATGGCCCGAGGTGTGCCACTTCTTCAATTCTTTAATATTCTCCATTCTGTAAAGGAAAATGAGCGAATGTTGTGAAAACAGAACTTGCATTAATTAAGAAATATTCCTATTCTAATCTAAATTGTAAATTTATAATGCAAAAATGATGATTGTTTTAATTCCTTGAATATTATAATAAAATCTCTATTTATTATATATAATAATTTTAATCTTTTCGACGATTTTTGACGTTCGATAGAGAAATTAGTTTATAAAAATTGTACTATTTCTTTTGACTACCGTAACACAAAACGTGTGAAAATAGAGGAAACGAGACGACGAATGAATTCGAATTATTTTAATTAATTAAGATTCGGACGGGATATTAATGTATAGTAACATAATGTTACATATATACGTATGTAATATATAAACTATAGCGGGAAATAACCGATCAATTCTTATCGAAAACTACCGCCGCCAATTGTGATATTTTGCTTATCGAAGTTAAAAAAGTATTTAAATCTAGAAAGATCGTAATCTAGTAGTAACGAATACAAGAAGTTTTAAAATAAATATAATAAAATGTATAAATCTAATCCTTCTCTTCCAGTGTGGACGTCGTTTATGGACAGCCCCTAAATACGCACAGCTGAGAATCAGATCCTTTCGACGAGTAGTATGGTCCTGGGTAGATAAGTACCCCCAAATGACGTGTCTTTTTTTTCAATCCTGATATTATGGTGTATCACATATGTACCATTTGGGAAAAAGGAAAAGACAAAACCCATCCTTTGCTTTTAGTAACGATTTCTAATAAAGGATTCAAGATTAATGTCATTGCCCTGTTATTAATCCCTTCATGAAGAGCACTTAATAAGGTCTATTCTAACCGATACTCATTAAAAAAATTGATGAATATTCCATCTGGGTTGAACTCTAATCTCTGAAGTCTGGAATTGGCAGTAGAATCTTTGCCGTTTTGTCTAACAAAACTGTTTTTCTTGCCCCTTGCTTTTCCAGTTTTGATTCCCTCTGCTCTGTCGAAGTAGTTCTCTCCTTGCGCTTCGTGGTTTCGGTCAGTTTAAAATAGGATTGCCAGGTGGTGATGGATGGGAAGAAATTTTCCTGATTTAACCAGGAAAATGTAAGAATTAAATCAATATACAAACCCAAGTTCCTCAGAGACACGATGACACCTTTATGGTCTCAGCCTGCCACGTATTGAAATAAATTAGAACTAAGCAGAACTCCGAGACAAGACGAATCCGATAAATTAAGTCTATCCAAACTGTTCAGATATTGCGTGGTAAATCCACCAGTGTACCTCCGTGAATCAAAGGCAATTTCAGGGTTGATTTAATTAATGGGATAAGTTAATGCTACACGCAAGAGATTTGCCAAGGAGTGTCTTTTGGAAGAACTTCATGAGAAATTGATCCGTATTTACATATTAGAGAAGAAAGTGTACAGAAAACTCCGTGTGGCCAGTCCATTGGCAAGTAGTAAATCAGCAACCGTCAGTATTCAGTGGTTTAATCCACTTGACCACTTGGCTTTACTATATTAGAAATTTCTGCTCAACAGAAAGTATTGAAAGAGAGAGAGAGAGAGAGAGAGAGAGAGCTAAAACTATTTGGATTTTACTACCACCAAAAAATTCTTATGGTTTATCCAAATTTGATTCCAGGTCCTCCAGTATGCAATACTGAAGGACTTAGAATGCCTCCAGTATTGCATACTGTGCACTGTATTATTTGCTCTCCTGTCTCCAAAAAGAATCAGCACTGAAGCATAATGGGTTATGTCACTCATTGCCTTTAGGCCTATATACACTCAGTAATCTGGAACTTTTGCTCATGTGGCACCCCTCTGCGCAAAGAATGGCTACATTAACAAGAACCTAGTATACTTGCTACAAGTTATTTATACCAGAAAACACAAACAAACCAATTTTTAGATCATCATATCTTGAAATTTAAAAATCAAAATACTTGTGCATAAAATCTAAATTTTAGCAATATCTTAAATAACAACACTTTCTTATTTTTAATTCTATTCTTTATTTTGTTTTATACAAAATATATTAATAAACTGTACCTATTAACCTATTATTAGACATACCATATAATGTAATCAAAAGATTATATGTAAATAAATGAAAAAATAATATTTTTAATTATATTTTTTTTTACGCGTTTTAAAAATATTTTCGATAAATACTTACTGTTATAATTTATACAACGACAGAGCATTTAATAAATTTTATGAACAAAATATGAGGAAAAAATATTATCACAGATTACAAATTAATAAATTACAACATTAAAAAATATGATTGGAAATTTAAATTATTATTATTATTTTTTGATGAAATTTATGTTTTACAATCAATTGCCGCCTACTATTACATTGGAAGTGAAACTATGCTATTGTACTTTACAACAATTATTAAGTTCGGAATTCAAATTCTTTACACAAAACTACTTCCAAATGCAATCAAAATTCATATTAAAAATGTTTAAAAAAAAAAAAAAAAGATTAAAATATTGCACATCTTTAACATACATAATTAAAACATGTAGAATGAACAATAAAGAGCAATTTTTACACTTGCTGTGAAGAAAGAATAAATTAACAAACATTTGTACATTGTTACACTTTTTTTTTTTGCATATATTAATCTATGTCTGTGTACATACAGTGTATATATATATTACTTTTTTAAAAATATTTGACAGAAAAGAATGTTTTGAACATTAATAACACTGAATTTAAGGAATCAAAATTAATGTATCAACAACATGAATTGTAGAAATATTTAAAAATTAAAATATTTTGTCCGAAAGAGAGGAAAAAAAAAGGAAAATTGGCTTTCTTTTTTTTTTTACATCAATATCTAAAATAACACCTTCATACATTTTTCACAAGTATTGTACAGTACGCAACAGAAGCAAACTTGGTTTGTAAATCTGAAGAATCTTAATACGAGCGAGTCTATTCAAAATAAATAGTTTCGTTCTAAAGACTGAGTAATTCGAAAAACATTGTAAACAAACAAATATGACACTGTATAAGTATAAAGATAAAAACAGTTTAGATTTCGTATGCCGCTTAACTAAATTTTTTTCTTTTTATATATAAAATCTACCACAGAATCCTAAAATATTTTAATTTACAGTAATTTTTTTTTTTTGTATAAAAATGGTTTAGGTTTAAATGTGACAGAATGGTGAAGTTGGAGAATATTTTGTGCATTCCTAGAAAATAAAAATAATTGTATAATTATGCAATGGTTCGAAAATTTTTGCTGAGTTTTAACAGGCAGGAATAATGTTCATTACATCTTCGACATTTTCATCACACGTCGTCGGATCTTCTGGAGTTTCCTGCAAGGGAGGAGTCGATGCGGCAGACGTCTGAGCAGGACATTCGAAGTGAACACAGTGAAATACCTAAAATCACAATGTACAATACATCGTACTGCTACAATTCCTGTTCAAAATTTAACAGACAATTAATTACCTCATTTGCTGTATTATGAGTGCCAACGATCCGTATAAATACCACTGGTCTTGGAGCAAAGCATATAGTCTGCCAAGATCTGTAAGACACATATTAAAAGAAATTCTATTTGAAAATAATTTTAAAAATGAGAATTTTAATTTACTGAAAACAATGTAGCATTATTTAAAAATCTGTTTATTAGAAAGGACTACGTTTTAATGAAAAAGCATAATGTATATTATTTGAATTTTGTGATTAGATATAATATCCATTCATCAATTTCTTTTATTATATACCATTTATTGCTACTCTCTTAGAATTTTGAGCATGCTCAATTAGAATTGCTTACCTTTAAAGAATGACATACATCCATATCAATTCTGTTTGGAATTCTAAGAAAATCTATAATGCATATTTATCTATTTTATTATAATTCATTTTAATGAAAATGATATATATTACCTTCAAGGAAATACATATATTTTTATATATGTTTATTGCTCTTAACTTTTATGTAAATCTTTATGTAAATTTAGATCCTCATAAATCACAAGGTTTTAGTCTTTATTATGCTAAACTAATTTCTATTGAAAATATTACATATTAAACTAAATAATCCACTGAATATTGAGTTTAGTATTCAAAATTCATTCATTCATTTAATAAAAGATTTATTAAAAATGATTTATTTTCATATTAATATGTTTTTCCTTCTATGATTTAGAGCCAATTTGGTTTTTTGAATGAAAATAATTGACTAATTTCTTCCTTGAGATAGTTTTAAAGTGTAAGCTTTGATAAAGAAACTTCCTAAAGTGAATGACTGTTTTATTTGATTTTTTCTTCCATGAACATTTTGAAAATTCTCTAGTCTCATAATATAAAATGGCATAAGGACTAATGTAAAATACTAAGGTTATAGTAGTCCTGGGAGTAGTGTAATAAGTTGTTAGCTCAATTTGAAATTCCTTGTGACAGTTTATAATAACTCAGTTATATGGGTTGCTTCAATTATAAGTATTTTGTCTTTATCTCTGTATACCCATATAGGTAAATTACCCAAAATGTAGCAAAATTGTCTTTCTGTATGCATTTTACCATTCTCCATTTTCAAAGAGAGAGGGAACAACGAATATTGAGTGGTGCAATAGTAAGCAATACAGATAATTAAAATATTTTTTCAATTAAAGTTATTGTCAAAAATGAAACCCAGAACTTTATGATCAACAAATCTTATTAGAGTTGAAAATCTGGATCTTTATCTTGTAAACAGATACAATTACAGAATTTTTGAAAGCCAATATTTGGATCTAAGCTAAATTATACTGTAAAAATACAGATTCATCATAGGGAGGAGTTTTGTATAAAAAAATTATCAATCTTGTTTTATTTAATCATCTCTAATAATTTCGAAAATACTAATCTACTCTACTGTACTCTACAATCCATGCTCAATTGGTCACATTGTTTATTCTCATAGTGCATTTGCATCATCCATATTGTGCATACTAGTTGTTGTGTACCATAACTGAAATGGCGTTGATATTAATATGCCTAAAATCATCTCTGAAGGGACTCAATTTTCTGAAAATAGTTTGAGAATTGCAGAACTTGAGAAAAGAACTGTTCCATCATTGTAAACATTAAAGGTGTAAATAAGCAGAGAAAAAAACTTTAATTTTATTCATTGACCTCGGAAATTTTAAAATACCACATAAACATAATGTTCCACTTCAATTATAAAAATAAGGATCTAGATGTAAAAACATCCATTGCTTATCCACATTATATTACACCTTTAATGTTTGCAATGATAGCTCTTTTTTCAAGTCCTGCAATTTTCTTAAGTGCTTTGAATTATTTCTCAGTCTTAACAATATATAAACTGCAAACTGATCAATGTGATATTTCATTTTAATTAGAAGTATACAACTCTTGTTGCTCCAACTATCATAATAATCAATTATGATGAAAGTTGGAACAAGATATAAATATTTGAAAGCGTTTAAAAATTATTGTCTACATACCGTAAATCTCAATATGATTTTAAAGTTGAGATAATAGTTGCCTTTTTCCAAATGCCAAGAAAAGAGAGCCCTCCCTACTAAATATCATTTTCTATGTAGTACGCCCGGTTGAAGTTTCAGAAGAATTTATTACGTGTATTATTTCAGTTTGGTATAAGTTTTTGTATTACTTATTATGATTTTTCTATTGTAAGAAGATAAGTGTTTGGTTCCAGATTGTATTATAGAGTAATGCCAATCAGAAGGAATAAAAATTATAATAAACCCTGGACAATCAAAGAGAAATAAAAACAACTGCTAATTATTTTAAAAAAAAAATTAAAGTTATAGATGAAAAAACTCAGATATAGCAATAGTTATCTAAGATATAATATCCAAAGATAAATTATATTTATATCTAGAGATGATGATTTACATAAAAGCATTTTTTTTTATTTTGCACAGAATGTTTTATACAAAATAATAAGTATTTCACAATGACTTATGGATTATTTAGTTTTAAAAAACATTACTTACTTGCACTTTTCACTTTGTTTATCAGCAACCATAGTCCAATGTTGTTGATCTATAGATACTTCAACATAATAACTGTAACTTCTATCATCACAATCCCATAATAAAAGTCTATTAAATATAAAATCATATTAAAAATTTAACAAAAGGAAAAAGAACAGAAGGTTAGCTTACATTTTTAAAAATGTTAATTATACAGTTTAATAGTTAATCAAATTTGAAATTTAATTATTATAAGTATATAATGTATTCCTTGACTTATGCAAAATAATTGCATTGTAAACTAAAATCAAAGCTCAAACTTTCTTTTTGTTATTATGGTGTTGATGGAATGTATCCTATGCAGTGTATATATGGTGTCTAGTGCTATATCAGTCAAAATATAAATACAAAAAGTAAATGTTTTGTTTACATGCTGTTCATATCTGTATGTATCTGTGTTTAAGAATTTCTATTATGTGTTTAGTATGACAACTTTCTATAGAAGGGGTGGCCAACAAGTCGATCCTGATCGTAAAGCCAATTTTGGTCGATTGCTCACGATCTGACTTAATGTGTTACACTTGTAACAGAATGCGATGTGTGAATGTAATGCACAAACACAACTGTAGTGATATAAAACCTCTGCATCCTCCCTCAGATTCAGTTTTGTCGATCCATCTGCAATCCATTTGCATATAGTTTTAAAAGGAAAATAAGAAATGTTGACAAAGTGTCGTAAAACCGAAAAAAAGAAAGGCGGGACACAGTAGAGAGAGAAAGGGTAAAATGGTGGTTTCCGAAAGGGAAAATGTTGAGTTTCAATTTTTACTCTGTTTAAAATGTAAGTACCTTTTCTTCATGTTTTAAATTAAATTGTGGCTTTTCTTACCTATCTAAACATAGAATGTATTTCACACACCCCTCACCACCTAGACTATGCTGACAACAGCAAGTCGATTGTGACGCAGTTTTAAGATAAAAAGTAGATCTTATGTACACAAAAGTTGGCCACCTCTGTTCTATAGTGTGATGTATGTGCTATTGTAAAGTCCTAATGTTTCTAGACTTTTGTGTACTTCATGTGGTATGATGTCTGTACAAGAAAGAACTATTGGCAAAACACATGCCTCATCCATTCTCCACAGACACTTTATTTCATAGGTGAGTTCTGAGTAATTTTTCAGTGTATTTATTTCATGTGTTGTGGGAGTTGAAAACAACTATGAAATATGTGTTTAAAACAGCTATGTAATGTATGTGATTTATTTGTTTGTCAATAAAAATGTGATGTCTAGTCTGTTATGATGAATTGTTCTATCTATCTAAGTATGTCACAGTCATAATATATTTTGCATGTTGTTTTCTACGACCATCTGAAAAGTGTATTTGTAGTATATATTTAAGCAAGCTCTTGAGATATTATATTTGTTATTTGGAGGCAAGTAGTCAATTTGTGTTAAAAACTTGCAATCTAATGTGATGTGATGTCACATCATTCACATGATGATACAAGTGTTATATGTAAATATGTCTTTTAAGATGTTCTTTCTGTAATTTGTTGTATTTACGGACTTGTGTGACAGTCATCATCATCATCATTATATAAAATGGAGATCTTTCTAAAAAATCCTGCCAAATTTTTTCAATATGTTATATTTTGTTTATTTCTCCCTTTTATAAGCTTTTCACATTTAATCCTACTTTCATTTTTTAAACCAAAAAAATAATCTTTTAACTCTACATGTTAAATTTAGAATAAATCATTGTAAGGATTACAGTCAAATATCAATTAGCATTTTCAAAAATAAATTTAACTTTTGCTCCATTTTCAGATTTTCTACAAAGATTAAAATATGATTAGCATTTTCTACAAACACAGGATTTGTTTTTAAACTCTTTCTGCCCTGTGGTTACTAAGAGGGACTTTTTTTAGCAATTCCATTATAGGTTTGGCCAGGCCCATAATGGGGCGGCTGGGTAGTGAGGGATAGAGGTCGACATATCAGGATGGACCACCCTGAAAAATTCCTGGAATTTTTTGACCTGCCCAGATTTGATCCTGGGTCCCCCAGAGCAGTAAGCTGCCACCTTAACCACTCAAGCCATCCAGCCAAATACAGGGTTAGTGAGAAATAAGTTTCCCACTTCAGACAGCTCTTGGGGTGTGTTCTACTGCTCAAAATAAGACAAAATTTGGACTACAGATAATTCAAATGATGCGCTTGAAATTTCTTAAATAAAAAAAACAATACAAAAATCCGTCAATAGGTGGCACTGGAGCACACAAAAATATTGAATATGCGTGCACATATAAATATTGAATAGGTAGCAATAAAAATGCTCAATATGTCCTCCTTCATTTTGAACAATGTGCTCTAATTGCAAAACCACATTTTCCACAGCTGAACGCAGTGAGTCTGCCAGAATATCCAGAACATGATGCCGAATGCTGTCCTTCAGATCTAGCACAGATGCAGGTCTTCTACAGTAGTCGTCGTCCTTCAGGAAACCTCATAACCAAAAGTCGAATGGGATGATATCCGGTGAGCGAAAAGGCCATGCTGTAGGAAAATAACGGCTGATTAATCATGCATCTGTGAAATGCTGTCTTAGTGTGGTTTTGCGATTAGAGTACATTTTTCAAAACGAAGGCCATATTGAGCAGTTTTAGTGCTACATATTCAACATTTATATGTGCACGCATATTCGATATTTCTGTGTGCTCCAGTGCCACCTATCGATGGATTTTTGTACTATTATTTTTTTTATTTAAGAAATGTCAAGCGCATCATTTGAATTATCTGTAGTCCAACTTTTGTCTCATTTCGAGCAGTAGAATGCACTCCAGAGCTCTCTAAAGTGGGAAACTTATTTCTTGCTAACCCTGCAAATAACTTGTGAATTCTAGAATGCCTAAAAAACTTACAAACTTTCTTACATGTATTGTAAATATTTAAAAGGTCTGCTTTTAATTCAACTGAGCATAAGCAAGCTTTGTATTTGATGATTGTATTTTCATAAGATATCCTGGAATTACAGTAACAGCATAGAACTACCAGAACTATATTCTCAATGCTAACTGCTGTCATTCCTTACAAAAATGATATATTATTTTATTGAATATCAAAGATAAAAAAAATTACAACCATCAGATAATGGATGTAAACTGTTGATTTTTGGAAAAACCATCTAAATATAGTTATATTCTATTGTTGAAATGTAATGCATCCTTGAAATTAATTTGAATATTCTGAAATGTTTTGCATTATTTCTTATGGAAAAAATTCTAATTCATTCCTGATCCATCTAAAGAACCCAATCAAATGATATTAAAACACTGCAACCTACTTACCTACTAATCCATAATTTTAGCACAATATTGAACACTATAAATTCCAATTATTTTGCTAACAAATATTTAATGAGGTCATTAAAATCTATGTTTGTAACAATAATTTGAAAAATAAGTTTATGTAAGAATGAATTATGAATTGTACAAAAACTACATTTTCTCTAATATGCAACAAACAATAAAAATGTATAATATTGTATATTTTTGTATTGAAATATTACTGTATAAAACAGAACAACAATGAAAAGCTATCACTTATCAGTTACCTTTTAATCAACTTCAATGTTTTAGTATTATCACTTTTCATTGGTCAAGGAAATTTTCCATATTTCAAGCAGTTTGAGATTTTTTACAAACAACTTTAAATTTAATAAAATCTATACATTTTATAATTTTTATAATGAATAACCAATTTGCCTGATTAAAACCAAATGTCCATGGTATGCGCTTACAAACACAGTATACTTATTCCAGTAAGTAGCCCTCTAACTTCTTCAGCTTGCAATTGCACTGTCTGCAAGAGGATGCTGATTATTAGAGAGCAATTATTGTTTCTATTCTTATGGAACTGGGTGCATAATGGTTTAAATAATGGTAGTTTAAATATGGTAACCTATGTTGTTATTATTTGAACAATAATGTAATACTCAATATAGCCATATTTTATTTTAACATAAGATAAGAGTGACAAGACAATAGAATGTGCAATTTTCCAGTTTAAAATACACCTTATCTTCCTCCACTAGACTGCACAATACTACATGGTATTGTCCTATAACTTTTTTCATCTTGCAGCTGCACTATTTATTAGAATAAATATGGTACATATGTAATTCATGATTTCAGTATGTATTCTAAAATTCTAAATTAGGAGTATATCTGTCATTTACAAAAATAAATCAGCCAGCTGAAGAAAGAAGTCTGCCAGTCAGAGAAATAATTTGTAATGCACCCTCTTACTAAGCAAAAAATTTTAACTTTTTAATGCATAAATTATATAAGTTATTATTTTTTAAAGCATGCACAAATTATTTATGATCATTAATTCCAAAAGAATGCATAAAAATTGGAATTATGTAAATATTGACTGCTATAACACTATAGAGTTTATAGTTGATATATACAAGTTTTTTGTGTTTTTTAAATTTTTATCAAACATATAATACGAACCAAAGACACTTGTATAAATTTCCTCTCTTAGAAAATAATCAATTACAAATTATTCTACATTTTACATAAACAATATCAAATTGTTTGCAGTGACACACACATCTATAATAACTAACCTATTTAACTATTTTCAAAAAATGTGCATAAAATTTAAGTTGGACAAATGAAAATGTAATGAACTGAACAAATTATTTGACAACCTACGTTTTCAATTCTGAGACATATCCTTAATTCAATCCAAATTTAACTAAGAATTTGTTTTTTCTTCTTTAAACTGGATTGCAGTTTATATTATATTTTCTCTGTTTCTTTATGTTATGAAGAGAATTAATTTGTCTACTTAAATTTATAATATCACTGTCAGATCATGTCAATAAAAAAAATATTAATGATTTTATTTTTGTATGCTTATTATTTAAAAATTAAAACGATTACCTCATAGAGTCAATCATGTATGGTTGTGCTAACTGAATAACTATTGCTCCACTTCCTAATTGGTGACACGTATAACCTGAATCCCAATCATAATTTTCAGTATCGCCATTAATAAGTGCATTCCTACTACGACTGACACCTTCAATGACGCAAGCACTGGATGTTATAGTAGCCACATTATGATTAGGAACTAGATAAAATATCAAAAATTTTAATCATTATAGCATAATTAATTTTAAAATATTACTTTCAATTAAATTAGTTTTATAAAAGTATGATTTCAACTAACCTATCAGACCTTTCTCCAGCCTGAAAAATTTGTTTGTGTACATGCATTCGAACGCCACAACGTGAAAAACCCTGTTAACTGTATTGTGAGTGCCAACAATTCGAATATATCTAAAATATAATTGAAACTTAATTAATATTTATTTATATACTAAATAAAATAATTTAATTAATAGAACAAATAAATTAAATCTATAACTGTTATACCATAGATTAAAACATAGTTTCAATTATAATTATTACATTAACAATCTGTTGTTTTATAGCATATGATGAAAACCACAACTGCCAAGACAACTTCTAGAATGATGAAAATTTCAAGAATATACATTATTTTGCATTTGAGGAAAGTCAAATTCAATAGAAAATTTTCATATGCTGAATATTTCAAAATTCTCACATTTCTAAATCCTAAGGACTGTTTCTTGCAATTGCAAAGAACTTGTTTTAAATGCAATTTAGTTTACGAAATCAAACTATATTTCTTCTTTTATACTAAGTTTGGTTCTAATCAGAATCAATTTAAATTATTTCAATGAATTTTGTATGCATATCATATTTCTAACAGAATGGTTGAAGTAAACTAGATTGAACCACTATTATTAAGATTAAAGATGATAGTGTCAAATGTTGACATTTCAGCAAATTTAATATTGTTTTTCTTGTTAGTAGTGTGATAAGAAAAATGATGAAATACATAACTAAAATTGCACTATTTTATCAATTTATATAAAATTATATAATAAAATATACTAGGACATTGCACAACTTTCTCGTATTGTGATAGAATTGAAGCAGACCAGGAAAGAAAGAAACAATTCCTGCACCTGTTAAGCATAGAAGAGATGATCTTTATATCTCACAGAGACAGAAAGGTGAACTTTGCACTTGCTGCCACAAAAGAGACAATCCTTGTATCTGTCGGCCACAGGAGTAACAATCCTCGTATCCGTCATCCATGGCAGACACAATCCTTGCACTGGCTGACACAGAAAAGCAATCCTCATTGATTGCTTTGTTCATTTTTGCACCTACTTTCTGTTAGGCACACAAAATGCTGTTTTTATTTTTGATCCCTAAGACCTAAATTTCATTAGGCATGACAATAGCATCAGAAAGCATGGTCTGTCAGTTTAACCTCTCTGTATATCGAAAACCCCTCAATCCCTATTTTTTACATTTAAATGGATCCTCATTACATTTTTGGATTCCTTATTGCAATTAATGAAAAATGGCAAAATTTTATCAAAATCAACCCATTAAATTTTAAGAACAAACTACAGTCTATAGCTAAGCCCATAGAAGACATGCTAGCGACAAATTCATGCGATTCGTGCAATATTACTTTGTTATGCACACTCCTGAAACAACCTTATATCTTGAAAATGAAGTCATAAACCCTCATTTTTTATTGCATATTTGGATTCCTCATTGCAATTAATGGAAAATGGAATATATATATATATATATACTTTTTAAACAGTAACTTCCAAACCTTCAAGAAATCAAAAATCTGAATTGAAATCTTTTTGGAAGAAAAGTACAGTCATCAGCAATGTAAGCATTATAAACCTGAATATATTAATATAATCATTTTCTATTTTAAACAACAATTGATCACTCAAATCTCAACAACTTACAAGTATTCTATTACTAATAATCATATTTAAATATCAAATTCATTCCACGTACTGTACAATTAAATCCTTGCTCTAATGTATCTCTTTCATAATATTTCAATTGCATTAAATTTTTTAATCTAATATACTTTACAACACTCATATTTCTGAAACTTTTTCAGTGTTTTTCTTATTTACAACATTACTGATATAAATTCATTGGATATATATAAAAATGTTCTACTGTTCTTAAATTTGTTACTTCTCTAAATATTAAGCATCATCAAATGAAACCTGTTCAGGTGAAGTTATGTGCACACTTGCTATCAGGTAAGGCAGTGATTCCCGAACTTACTCAAGCCACCACCCCCTTGATTGTACAAACTTATACCAACACCCCAACCATACCCCAATTCCCCCCAACTTATGTTGCCTTGCAAAGACTTAGAAATATTCTTAGAAAAGCTTTTCTATGACCTTCATACTTTGTGTCCTTACCATACATTGTTTTCAATATCTGGAAACTATTAAATGCAACATTTCTTACCATTGTCATTGAAAAATTGTCAGTGGCTTGAATCCTCCAGTGCCTCCCTGCCACTCCCTTGCTTCTTTTTACCCTACTACATTTACTACCCTAGGGGCAGTAGCACTCATTTTGGAAACCATTGATGTAAGAAAATCATATGGTCCCAAATGTTGGTATATGTTGGCTTTTAAATAGTGATGGCTAGCACTGAAAACCCACCCAAAGTAGAGCAATAAGAAGTAATTAAATTTTTAATGGCAGAAAGATGCCCTCCAGATAAAATCCACAAGAGAATCCATGTTGTTTATGGGAACAAATGTCATCTGTGACCACAAGGGACCTCTGTAGCTAGTGTTCAAAGAAGCAGATGCCACAATCATGCACAGCATTACCTGCAGATATTGAAGAACTTCCATCAAGCCATAAAAAATAAGAACTTGGATTGCCTCAGCTCCAGTGTTATTCTCTTCTCGTGATAATGGATTTTTACATGTCATTGTCACTGTTAAACAGACTCTTGCTGGAAAGAGGTGAGATGTTCCAGAAACTTTCCATGTAACTATCAATATTTCTTGTTCAGATCACTCCAGAAAACTCTCAGAAATTTTTCACAGAAAACAACAACATAAAGGCCACTGTTCATCAACAATTTAAGAAACAGGAACTCCTTCCTATGTGGTAACTTCCACAATGTCGGGAAGCCTGTTTGAAGGTAAGTAGCAACTTCTACACACATTAACTGATGTACTGCTGTCAACTTATTCTTCTATACTCTATATTCTTACCCTAATGGATTCTAATAAATGTACTTTTCATGGTATTTATAACTATTGAAAAAATTTCATTTGATCATGCCTAATAATAATTCTGCCTCATTCCATCTAATAACTTAAATCCCTATTACACAATTCCTAAGTTGGTCATCTTTCCTTCAAATCTTTTCATGCTCTAGAAATTCTCATTCAAATTTCTGTACACAGAACCAACATAATATTTTCTTTCACCATTACAGTCCTCTAATACTGTAAGCATACACTCCTGACAACTGAATTATGCTTTTCAACTTCTCGAAGAGGATTTGGAAGTTGTTGTTTAATTGCAGTATGAAGTAATTGTGTCCTTGTTTAGAAGAACATATACTCATATTTTTTCTTTATTTATTTTTCTAATCTAAACAAATAAACCTAGAAAATTCAAACACATTAGTTTAGATTCTGAGAATTCTCATATGATCTTTATATTGGAAATTTTATAAATTAATTATATTACTATAAAAATTACTACATATTCAATAATTCTATTATATAATATAATTATTTAATATCAATTAATTCTAATTTAATCCTAATAATATAAACTTTATTTAATATCTTTTTATCCATTTTATATGCTTAATCATTAAACATTTAAACTTTTTATTTTTTAAAAATATTTTAATTGCCTTTTTATAATTATTAAGTAATCAATTTAAAATCTCTAATTTAAAAAAATATGATGCAGAAATCAACATTAGCATATTATTTTTGTTTATTGTATATAAACTATTTTGTTTGTTTTAATACTTAACTAATTTAAATCTGGTCTCCATTCTCCTTCACAGTAGTTTCACTGCATTTATACAGTGATCTTACCACTTCTGCCAAGTCTCAAATGCTCCTTAAAAATCATTATTTCAAAAATTCCAAAGCACTTATTGTGATTCAGACTGGATTATCTCAACAGTTCCAAAACGTCACTTGTTGAGCTTCAATTTCATTCTGGAGAACAAAGAGAAGTCACAAGGGGCTAAAAATGGCAAGTAAGGAGGCTGAAGAGTACTATCATGTTGTTTTTTTTTTATTAAAAACATTTACATTCAGAAGGCTGTATGCGCAGGAGCATTGTCAGGATAAATGATCTGTTGTGCCACAGTTCTAGTCTTTTGTAACAAATGTCCTCACGTAATTACCTTAAAACATCCCAGTAAAAGTCTGAAGTCACTGTCTGACCAGGAGAAACAAATCTCCAGTATGCAATCCCCTAGACTAGATGCACACTAATGAAGTAAAAATGACTTTATACAAAACATTTTTCTAAAAGTAAAACAGTATAGTAAACATTGATTAGTCAAAACATTGTTAAGTAAAACGTTTTAACTTCAAGCAAATTCATTTTGTTTGATGGTGTACAAACAGTGATCAAGCAAAACATCTTTATATAAAAGTCTTGCTACACTCCCTTTTGCACACGTGCAGTGATTAACTATTTCAACATTGTATCTCACAGTACCATAATGTTATCAAATAAAGCAATTCTTATATGATAATGAATGCAGCTGTGCCAGGCAAAAGCATGTTTGGATGCACCCAATTAAATAAAAAATATTTGAAGAAAATACTCTTCAAAAATTTCTTAAATATGAACTAAGAAATGATGAAACCAATTTTTGAAAATTTACTTGATTAAGCTTTCATTGTTTTGATTACATTCTAAATGTTCTTAAAGATAAAATACATATATATGATACTAATCTAATAAACAGAATTATGCCAGAAGAAAGATTGCTTAATGTATTAAGATATACTTTTATTTTTTTTATATAAAATTTCTTCCAAAAGTTTGTCAATGACATCTTTGTTGCTGATGATCTTTCTTCATAAAATCATGTACAGGTTTTCTTCAATTAAAACAATTACCTTTTATACATCTATCCTCATATCAACTAAATGTGCAAATATGAGCTATATGTGAAAAGTGTCTAATCAACTACAAACACACATGCACAAGAAAATGCTCACCTGTTGAATGGAGACCAAATTTGCACATCGATCGACAGATTTAAGCATACTTACATTTGTACAATCGGGTCTAATGAGGGAGTGCTTCCCTCAGTTAAACGTCTTTGTATAAAGACATTTTGCTAGATACTAAGATATTTCAATGTACACAAATCAAACAAAAATGTATTTAGACAAAACATTTTGTCAGTAAGTGTTTAATTCTCATTTATCATGTTTTTGTATTTGTTTGATCAATGCGTGATGGAGTATATGTAAACCACTAAAAATAGTTTTAAGCATGTTTACTTGAAAACATTTTGTATAAACATATTTTTGTTGTTCAGTGTCCATCCAACCTTACTATTTAAAAAAACTAACATACTCTTGTCACACTTCAGACTGTTCTTGACTTCTTGGGTCTTGGAGATTACGATCTTGCTGTGGCTTAGTTTCCATAGGCCACCCAAAGCATTTCAAGAGTCTTTGTGCCAGATTTTCCAAATTTAAAATTAATGCAAAACTTTGTTCTTTGCTCAATTTTCAAGTTCATTCTCAAATTACAGAATGGCACCAACACAGCATTACAAAACTGCTTGAGCAAGCATTCCAGTATTAAAAACTCCACACCACTTGGAAGATAAATGCTCAAATGTTTGAAGTAGTGATCCTTGATGGCAAAAAGACTATACATTGCACTTTCACCAAACAGTGAAAACAGTCTGGTTTCTTTTTGGTTGCATCATATATTTTATTTATAATAGTTAAATACAAGTTAGTATAGTTAAAAACAGTGTAAGTTAATATACTGTTGAATTAAGTTTAGTAACAAAAATTATGGTTATCAGTATAAATATAAACACTTAATACATTTTCTGAATAAAGTAAAATTAATTGATCAAGCTTTGTAACTCTAAACCTTAAATTTCTATTAACACCATAAGATCTTATTAGATATCTTTTGATTTATTATCAACACTATTTGTGTACACAATGTATAAATTAACAACAACTTAATTCAAAAATATAGCAATACAATATAAGTTTGAATTAATTATATTATATGAAATATTTTTATTTGATAGCATAAAAATAAGTGTTCATAGTATATACAAGTATAAAATACTTATTCAAATAATAAAACAGTAAAATATTTAAATATTTATTTTATATATGCAAATATATCTTACATCAAACAAACAAAAAATCAATTAATATATGCCTTACTTAACAACACGTTCATCAAAATAAAGATTTTGCCATGAGTGACAAAGATATCGTGTGTGATCTACTACTCGTATCCAATCTTTCTGATCCATTGAAACTTCTATGTAGTATGCATATGATCTATGAAAACAGGATTTAAAATTAATAATTTTTAGTTACACATAATCATTACGTATAATAACAATTCAAATTTAACTAGTATATTTCATTAAGTTTCTTTGCTATAATCAATCCAGTGTGATAACTCAAAAATTACACATCCTAAAGTCATTGAACCAAAAAATGTTAGCCTTTGAGTGTGTCAGAAGACAGGGCTACCATTTTCATCATAGATTATGCTACAACCAGTGAAAATAGGATCATCTTCATTTTCTTAAATGGAAACTCCCATTTTTTTTTATTGCATATAATGATTCTAAATGAAAATGAACAAAATTTTATCTAAAACATTTTTTTGAACGATATCTGAAGTTAGGCATATTTTAAGTACAGTAGAACCTCGAAAACTCGGCTCTCGATAACCCGGCACTCCGGATAACTCGGCCACACCCTGGCAGGGCAAAAAAATCCTTAGTTAATTAATTTTCATTATAGACAGCTTTATAAAAGTATAAAAGCTCTCATAAAGCATTTTTCTGAGGTCTGTCTTATCAGGTAAATTACTGTACATAGTGTATTCATTAATTTTCATTTTCATGTAGTAAAGGCTCTATGCCTTCATAAAGGACGTACTTTTCCTTTGTTTAAGGGTATTTGGGCAGTTTATTCTCTGTTATATTCTCAAGCAAACAATACATACAAGTACAGTACAGTATTTTCTGAGGAAACACTCATACTTATTTTTTTTAACCCCATTCCCAATAACCCGGCATTTTCACAAACTCAGCCACCCTTCGGTCCACATTAGGCCGAGTTTATGAGGTTCTACTGTATACATAGTCATCACACCACACACATGTAAATCTACAGATATCTGTGAATATCACTGAAAAAAGGAATAAAAATACTTAAAAATCATTATTTAGTGAAATTAAGATCATTGTCATCTCTATCACAAGTTTGATGGCTTTAACATGCTAAGGCGCTAATTTTGTATCAGTTCATTATTTAAAGAAAAAGAATGATTCTACCAAATAATAATAGTTTCATAATACAGTAAGACCCCGCTTAACACGGGGGGATACGTTCCTAGACGATAAAGCACTAAACAAAAAACAGCATTAAATGAGGTCATTTTAACACAGAGTAAATAGGGAAAGAGGAACATGTGACCAAAAATAAACAGATTTTACTTTAATTTCAAGTTATTTTTATATTAATTTGCATAATAATATACAGTAGAGCCTCGATTATCCGACCCCCGATTAACTGACATCTCGGTTAACCGACCGTCCTAGTCGGCAAATTTCAAATGTCCGCTAGTGATGTGGCACTACAATATTTGGCAATGTCTTGGCTACTTTAATATTATTTTTACGTGTTTTAGCTGGCAACACTGGATCGACCATGAAAGGGAGCCAGTATTTAAACGAGGCTTAATTTTCTAATTTTTAACGATACAATAGCGACGATTATTATTTTAAAAAATTTTTGTTAGGCTTAACATCGATGAAAATTCAACGCGAAGTAGGTTAATAGCGATATACTAATATATTAATTACATGGGATATAATAATATACTACACTAATAATGGATTTTATCATATTTTTCGGTTATCCGACTTTTCAATTATCCGACCAACCCTAGTCCCCAATTGGGTCGGATAATCGAGGCTCTACTGTATGTTAAATAACACACAAACATATGCACACAGAAATGTAAAGTTCATTTTTTGTGATGGTCATGGCTCTTCTGAAATTCTTGTTTTTTTCAATAAAATTGTGTAGTTTCATTTGTCACTTTTTTCCATTGGTAGCAGGAGATTGCATTTAAAATGCCTTGTCTTGCTTTTGCACTCTCTTCAAAATCTGGATTATTCACTACAATTTGATCAACAATTTCGATTATCATTACCAAACTTTTACTAAGGAAATCTGTAAAGAAATTCTTTGGGTTCTTCGTTTTCAGAATCACTATTTTTCAGTTCTACATGAATTTCTTGTTCTGCCAGTTCTCAAAGGTCATCGTTGGTAAGGTTCTCATCAGAAACCTGCTGTAACTCCTCAATATCCTGCTCGCCTACATCTCCTAGTCCTGCTGTATCGATTAGGTTGACCAAATTGTCAACATAACAATACAGTGATAGGCTCTTTTCGTTGAGAATTCTTGGAAACCTTCAGCCATAACTTCTTCCACACTTTGTTCATGCACTTATCAGTTAATTCTTGCCAACCAAAGTCAATATTGCCTATGGCATCCATGATGTCATATTTTTTTTCTAAAATTGCATCAAACAAACATAGATTTAAGGAAAGTACAGTGCTATGACGAATTGCCACCTTCTGCTGATTGGTTCGTGTTTGGGAATAATTGTATTATATATGAATCAATAAGATGCTGCAATAATTTAAATCGGCGTAAATTTTGAGCTTTTTTTAGGCTTTGAGCAGACTACATTATATCGAATCAGCGTTAAGCAGGGTCTTACTGTAATTTTTTTAGCATTGTACTTCTTTTTTCAATAGACTTCATCGATATCTACAGACATTCATGCAGGCACTGTAGTAGTCAAATGCTCATAACTTCTGATAAGTGCATCTTTCAAAGAAAATGTTTTAGGTGAAAATCTGTCTATTTTTGATGTAATAAACAATAAAAATGTATGTTCACATTTAAGAAAAGAAGTTGACCCTGTTTTCATCAATTGTAGCACCATCTATGATAAAACCAATAGCCCTGTCTTATGGCTTCTTTAAAGTCTAACATTTTTGGCTAAATATTTTTTCTGTAGAATGCATATTTTCCAAGTAATTCCATTGGAATGCTTAAAATTCACCATCATATGTAATGATAAACTTCCAAAATTTTCATGATCAGAATGTTATTAGATATAAATTCCATAAAATACATAATTGTACAAAAATATGATAGCAACAACAGTATACATTAGCATTGCCATAAAATTTTGTGATGTTTCATTCATAGATATATTTTCCTGTAATTTTATAATACTGGTATTGGATTGAAATTATGTGAAAGATAATATTTAATGTCATTTATTCCATTTTGAAAGAGAAAGTACACACACACATTTTAAGTCAAATAATAGTATATAATTATATTATTTAATTATGGATTTTGTTTCTTTATTTCAAAAATCTCTAGTGATGAACCAAGAAATTTGAAAGTNGGGCTAAATTTGGAGAATCCGTGCTTCTCGCATGGACAACTGTATGTGGCCGGCTCACGCATCGGAAAACCTTCTGATTTATTCGCGTATGCATCAGACAGAAAAACAAAAAATATCGTGTATCCACAAGAACTTCAATAAATAAATAGAATTGAAACAACACTTGAAATGTTTTCCCGATGAAAATGAATAATAATAATAAGTTTAAATAAAAATGATAAAATGTAAATTGAATTTTATCATAACGAGTTTGCTTGAATTTCCTTTCTTCTAGATCACAGCAATGCGCAACGGGTAAGCTAGTATGTATATAAAATGTGAGAATCTGGAGACATTGAATGGGGTTATTTTATTGACAATTAAATTAAAATATTATTTTTGCGTTAAAATGATACATCTTTGTTATTTTGTGAGAAAAAGCAGAAAACGGAAATAAACTTTTCATTTCAACTCTCAACTTCCCATGGCAAGATGTTATCACATATTTTTGATGAGCATCTGTTAAGTCGAGTCATCATTGCATCATGTCACATGAGAATAACTTAAACATTGATTGGAGAGGATTATGAAATAAAAGGGGAAAAAAATGCATCTCAGAGCAGACTTCACAATCAGAGATAGATAGAAAAAGCCCTGTTCATCAACTCTCTCAGCTCCCAGCTCATTTCCCGTCTCTCCTGAAGGGTCTTCCTACCGATGTGCCGACCACGCCTTGACGATATCAAAAGACATTGATCAACTAGAGGTATTATGAACCGATTTATGTAAACTCTCTCTCTCGGTAATTAGAGGTATAAGTAGTTAGCTATTCGATTCCCTTCAATATTGTAGACGAAACACATTAATCCTACCTAGATGTATTCTATTGTAGTAGTCTATATGTAATCATCAAATTCTTGATAACATTAAACTTGTTGTTTTGTTTAATTGGTTTTGAATTGAATTCTTCCAAGGACAGACACCTACCGACTTATTCATGACCCCTCCACCACTCGATAAAACAAACAAAAGCCATCCACTGACCACGTGAGCAGGCCTCACAGGTCTGATGTCGACAAAGGGAGTTAACAGTATTAAACTGTAACCCCGGCTTCTCACAAAGATTTAAATATATATACTAATAAAAAATAGTTTTTAATCATTTTATAAGAGATGGAATCAACAATGATGTATCTGGAGGAGAGTTTGATCAACTTTACATTCCTCCATCAAATTTTGTGGGCAGCTCATGTTACATGCATGAGAAAATGTCATTGCATCTTGTGGAAAATACAAGATGCATTGACATATGCTCACACTTATGGTCAACCTGATCTATTTAATACATTTACATGCAATGCTAAATGGAAAGAAATTCAGGACGAGTTACTACCAGGACAAACATATAATCATAGGAACAAACATTGAAAGCTGTTGGCCTACAATTACAGAAAGAATGTTTTTCTCATGATCAACTGTATGTAAGATGCTACAGGGTAAAAACTGGTAACAATGTATACTCTCCATTCAGAAAAACATGCAATGTTGTATGTAAAGTATTATAAATTTTATTTTCAAATTCATCATTCTTTGATACATGTTTTGTTTATTTTTCACATCACAGATTTTTGTTACTTACTGAACAATTTCCTGAAAAAAATACTAATCTACACATTTCAAATCTAAACATTTTGTTTCCTGACCTTAAGCAAAAAGAATATCTGTTCAATTTGCACTCTTCACTGCTTAACAAAGTACTTTCACAGTAATTTATACCCAGGCAATGCCAGGCTTATCTGCTAGTATATATATGTAAACATAACATAAATAAATATCCTTTTCTTGTAATAAAATTGTTATCTATATATATAAATGATAATGTTTGTTTGTTTGTTCGCTATGCATGCATAGACTGTTAGACCCATTACTACAAAACTCAATAGTTACATTCACATACTTCTAACATAGATAATGTCATACATCCCATCCCAAAACATCAATTAAATTTCTATATATCAATTAATTTCTGTCTACATTTGATTTTCTGACTTAACTATCTATTGGAAAAAAATTTTTTAAATACACAAATATAAAAAATTTATACAAAAAGGATGCAACCAACATAGCAACATATCCCTGTTATTAGAGACAAAATATAAATGTTATTAGAGAAATAAAATGTTATTAGAGACAAAATATAAACAAATATTGTAAAATCATTTGATTTAGTCTCTAATTAAGCTCTAATTAGCTGTTATGTTATAAAAGAAAATATGTAAATAATCGCTTATTATATCCAATTGTTGTAATAATAGTTTTCCATAATCCATACTCCATTTTCCAAAAAAGATTATATTATATTAGAACTCATCAGAAAGAATTAAGATGTAATACATTTATACATTTAAGAGATGGAATCAACAATGATGTATCTGGAGGAGAGTTTGATCAACTTTACATTCCTCCATCAAATTTTGTGGGCAGCTCATGTTACATGCATGAGAAAATGTCATTGCATCTTGTGGAAAATACAAGATGCATTGACATATGCTCACACTTATGGTCAACCTGATCTATTTAATACATTTACATGCAATGCTAAATGGAAAGAAATTCAGGACGAGTTACTACCAGGACAAACATATAATCATAGGAACAAACATTGAAAGCTGTTGGCCTACAATTACAGAAAGAATGTTTTTCTCATGATCAACTGTATGTAAGATGCTACAGGGTAAAAACTGGTAACAATGTATACTCTCCATTCAGAAAAACATGCAATGTTGTATGTAAAGTATTATAAATTTTATTTTCAAATTCATCATTCTTTGATACATNAAAATTGTAAAGGATTAAAAAATGTATATAAAAATGGGGAATATCGCACTTCTGACAATCGCTGCAAGTGTGTGGGCTAAATTTGGAGAATCCGTGCTTCTCGCATGGACAACTGTATGTGGCCGGCTCACGCATCGGAAAACCTTCTGATTTATTCGCGTATGCATCAGACAGAAAAACAAAAAATATCGTGTATCCACAAGAACTTCAATAAATAAATAGAATTGAAACAACACTTGAAATGTTTTCCCGATGAAAATGAATAATAATAATAAGTTTAAATAAAAATGATAAAATGTAAATTGAATTTTATCATAACGAGTTTGCTTGAATTTCCTTTCTTCTAGATCACAGCAATGCGCAACGGGTAAGCTAGTATGTATATAAAATGTGAGAATCTGGAGACATTGAATGGGGTTATTTTATTGACAATTAAATTAAAATATTATTTTTGCGTTAAAATGATACATCTTTGTTATTTTGTGAGAAAAAGCAGAAAACGGAAATAAACTTTTCATTTCAACTCTCAACTTCCCATGGCAAGATGTTATCACATATTTTTGATGAGCATCTGTTAAGTCGAGTCATCATTGCATCATGTCACATGAGAATAACTTAAACATTGATTGGAGAGGATTATGAAATAAAAGGGGAAAAAAATGCATCTCAGAGCAGACTTCACAATCAGAGATAGATAGAAAAAGCCCTGTTCATCAACTCTCTCAGCTCCCAGCTCATTTCCCGTCTCTCCTGAAGGGTCTTCCTACCGATGTGCCGACCACGCCTTGACGATATCAAAAGACATTGATCAACTAGAGGTATTATGAACCGATTTATGTAAACTCTCTCTCTCGGTAATTAGAGGTATAAGTAGTTAGCTATTCGATTCCCTTCAATATTGTAGACGAAACACATTAATCCTACCTAGATGTATTCTATTGTAGTAGTCTATATGTAATCATCAAATTCTTGATAACATTAAACTTGTTGTTTTGTTTAATTGGTTTTGAATTGAATTCTTCCAAGGACAGACACCTACCGACTTATTCATGACCCCTCCACCACTCGATAAAACAAACAAAAGCCATCCACTGACCACGTGAGCAGGCCTCACAGGTCTGATGTCGACAAAGGGAGTTAACAGTATTAAACTGTAACCCCGGCTTCTCACAAAGATTTAAATATATATACTAATAAAAAATAGTTTTTAATCATTTTACAAATGTTGCTGACACTTCTGATCAATTTAGCTTTCATATTCAGTATTAATACTTACATATTAAAACAGATTTCTGATGTAACTATGATTAGGTCATTAAAAAAATTGTATAAATATAAGTAAACATATGTCTACTTCAATAAATTACTATTAGATTACATAAAACTATATGTGTATCATTTACCTCATAAATAATTAACTTAAAAATTATCTCAATGAAATTAATACTCAGATGTAATATGTTAATTTTTTTTTTATTAAATTACATTTAAACTGACTTTTATATATAAAAAATTTTTAAATATATATGTAATTATAATAATTAATAGTTGCATATAATTATCAATACAATTTAATATTTCCATATACAGGTATCCCTTGTACATGCTTTCGCTCTAATATGGTTTTGGAAATCCTCTGTACAAAATTTCACAATTTTTAAGTGTAAACTTCATTATTCTATATTTGTTTTTATTCAAATAAGCACATGTGCTGTCTCAAATTTGCCCACAGATTTTAGAATATTGAAATTTTCATATTATTTTATGCTTTCATCAAGTTTACTGTAATGAAAATTAATAGGACAAGGAAAAAAAAATTGCACTAACTTTCCTATTAACCAGGTATTGTCGTTGTTTTCACTTTAACTCTTGAGACTTTCACCGTTTTTTTATTTCTATAGATTACTCTTCATATTTAGTAATGTTTATTTATTTAAACATTTTTAGGTAAGTGTTATTAAACTTTTTTTAATTGTAGGTACGCAATCATTCATAAAATGACAAACAAAATATGGCGATATCTCAGTACTCAAACAATTCGTTATTTGAACAAAAATTCTGGAAAAAAATTGCTCAGTACTCAACCAAACAAACACAACCTGCTAGAACAAATTTTTGATTAACAACATATTTTTATTCCATAAAAATTGTTTATGATAAAAATAAAAAATATGAAAATGTTGCTGATACTTCTGATCAAGATCAAAAACAAAGCTGAGATGACAACGATACTTTGTAAAAAGAAAACACCCTTTGTTTAACTAAAATTAATATTAAAGCATGATACAGTACTTTTAATTGTGATTGTTAATTATTGATTGGAAATTATCAACTGATTTAATAAACATTTCTCTCAGTAATGAAAAAGAAATGTAGACTTTTGCTAACTTCTGAAACGTAACCTTATGTTTTGCATTAGTCCTTTGTTTCGTATAGCATGGATTCACATAACACAGCACTTTTTTGGAATGTAACTAGTGTTATATAAGGGATACCTATATAATACACATATACGTAGATCTACATTTACATAACTATATTACAAAAAAAAAATGATATCTTTATTATTATTTATGATTATACATTAATCAAATTACAAATTTTATAAATAAAATTTCAAATTAAACTTACTTAAATAGCCTCTATATTTCAGATCGGTATCACGGCTTTCAGTTCGAGATTTTATTGCATCGAGAATAATATCTGCTTTAACCAATCCAGTTGGACGCACAATATTCAAAAGATCTTGTAATGTCATTAAGGGTAACCTAACACAAGATAAAATTTCCTGTGGTTCTATTCCAGAGTTATGTTGTGTCCAATTATAGACAGCTCGAAAAATATCGACTTCTGGTGCACAAAATGAATCCCTACTTATCATTTCTTTTACTGCAGCCTAAAAATATATCATTGAAAAAACAAAATATTAGGTGTTCAAAATTCTCATTTGCAATTTAATGTACAAACAAAATTCTTATATATTTTTTAATTATTGAAAAGCAGTAAGAATAAAAGTGATTCTAAAATATTTCACAATTAATTTATTTAATTTTTAATGGCATAAAAAAATTTAAATGTTTAGAATGTTTTCTTATATTAAAAATATTTCATAAGGCTAGATTTAAAAAAAAACATTTATAATTATGAAACTTTCAATGAAATGTATTACTTTGTTCCCTATTCTGACAGTCAGTATTACATTGAAAAGAAATACCATAATATATTAACATTAATTATATTTTTTAATCAATCAAGTATTTAATACAGGGTGGGGCAAATAAAAGTGGCCCGGACGAGTGGATACGATTAGCTTTGATCCGCCTTCAGCAACTTGCTGACCAGGGCTCAAAGGTGCCAAGAGATGAATGGTGGTCACTTTCAACATCTGCTATAGTCAGGTTAGTACTGTATTTCCTTTCCTCTGCTGTGTTTCTTTGTACCTGGAACTCGGTTCTCCGGGCCACTTTTATTTGCCCCACCCTGTAATTTAACTGAAAATTAATAATGTTCTTGTTTAAAGTACAGTAGAGCGTCGTTTATCAAAATCAATTGGGGACTGGAGTGATTCGGATAACTTATTTTTCGGATAACGAATCATGTACGAAAAAATATATTAATTTATCCCATGTTGAAATTTCTCTCTGTTTCATGTCGCTTCACGTTGAATTTTCGTCGATGTTAAGCCTAACGAAGACTATTGTATCGTTAAAAATTATTTTTTTATTTTGTACAAACAAAATAAATTTATTGAAAAATATAAAAACAATAAAAAATTATACTTCAGATGTTAATTTAGTATCAAAAACGTAAAATATTTGAGTAGCCCGAGAAATAGCCGAAGATTGCAGTGCCACAGCACTAGCAAAAATTTAAATTTGCCGACTGGAATGCTTTCGGATAACGGACGTTTCGGATAACCAGCTTTCGAATAAACGACGCTCTACTGTATTTATTATGTTGGCTAGTCAGAAAAACCCGCCAGCAATCAAATAATAAAAAAATGTTTGGGGGAAAAAGCAAATTTGAATGGCAGTTACAGTATCTAGGTCACAAATGCAGTCTAGAAGCCACCACTCTCACTCACCATCACATTACATGATGTTTATTTTTACTCATATGTGATTCCCATGTGATTTCATAGGAAGTTTCTAATTAGTTTATTTGATAGATGAACATTAATAATTTTATATAAATTAAAATTCTGGAGAATTTATGAAAATTCCGCAAGAAAGCTCCATTCAAATTAAATAGTTTGATTTGTGCTGAGTGATTGAGAAAAGAAAATGACTTCGAGTAAATGTGATTTTTAGTAATTCTAGTTTGAGTTAACCAAGTTTCACTGTTTTATGAAATTTTTATATAATAGCATTTTGTAAATGCCAACATTATTATAAAGCTAAAAACTTACTTCTTAGTGAAACGTTATGTAAACCT